GTATACATATATATATATGTATATATATATATATATATATATGTATATATATATATATATATATACATAAATAGATATATATTTATATATATATATATATATATATATATATATATATATATATATATATATATATATATATATATATATATATCAAATATAGTCAAATATAGTTTTAATAATATATATTTTTAATAATTATATAATTGTACACTTATTTGCCGATTGTCTTTGCTATGAAGTTGCTTGATTTTGAAAACAAAGAGCTTGAAAACAACTTTTCCATTACAATTTATTTAATTTTTTTTATTTTTTTATTTAAACTGTTTTTAATATAGAAAAACTAAAAGAAATAAGAATTTCACCAGAAGAAATAACAATTATCACAGGAATTACTGTGAAAATGTCAATGTTCTGTTAAAAATTATTTAATATACTTGAGAAATATTTAAAGAAGAGGCTAATAATTTTGCCTTCAAATGTATATTAATATATATTATTATATAGCAATAGTATGTTATTATACTTCTCTGTGCATCATGCATCTTATATAACATATACTACAAAAATTACTATATTATATGTCCAAATAAATACAACATTTGTTGATAATGCAAACTGAAATGGTCAAAAAGATAGAAAATCTCATGCTCATGCCAACATTGATATATCTGAACAGACTCTGAGGATGAAGACAAACGAAGGTCGTTTGAAGGTTAAACAGCAACACACAGCACTCTGATAATGAAAGGGCTGAAATAAAACCCATTTCTGCTTAAATCAAACATGACGTGCGTAAAAACGCAAGTACAGAGAAACAGAGAATATGAACAATGCTGAGAATAATTGCAATCGAACCGCATGCAGGTCTTTGACTTACCGCAGTGTATAAGGTTGTGCCATTCAGAGAGAAAGAAATGTGTTAGCGCTGTTAATTCTTAATGACAGTACGTCCTATAATGTCAAAAGCCTAAAAGTGTGATTTAATTGCTAAAATAATGTTGAAGTGATTCACAAATACTGATAAACCAACAAATGTGGTGGTAAACCAAGTGGAGCAGAAACCAAAGCTTACATTATGTGTGGATGTGAGCAGATACATATAAAAAAAAAATAACATTGTACAATGAAGAACATATATATTTTAAAATTAAATATAAGACAAAAAAGCTATTGTTTATCGGTGATGTATGACTGTGAAATCAATACCAAGGTTAACCACTAGGTGGCGATGCTGGACAAGCCACATCCCACACTACATTATAGTATGAGGATGTTTCTGGATTCTTCTGTTTAATCTAGTATCATGCTATTAGTACTTATTTTTATGTACTAGTACATTTTATTATTAATATTATTATTATTATTATTATTATTATTATTATTATTATTATTATTATTCATTCACCAGTATTTATTTAGTACATACTAATAATTTTTGAGTGCTCATTTATTATATACAAGCACTTTTTTATTAGCTACTAGACATGTTTATTAGATACCGGTGCTCATTATTAAATACAAGTCCTGAATTGTTATACAGTATGTGACTCTGGACCATAAAACCAGTTATGAGTGTCTATAAATAAAGAATAAGATTTCCACAATTTTGAAAATAGTTACGGGGGAAAAAATCTCAAATATTTAGTGACATTTGCTTTGTCATTAAGTTATATGGGCTCTGTCTATTCAGTCTTGACTAGTGTGCGTTACTAAATGTGACTAATATATATTTTGGTATTATTTGACTAGTATTTAACTTAATGTTTAGAAGCCACTTTTGAAATAACAACTAGTATCTAATAACGACAGTATCAAACTAATACGTGCTATTGTTGTGGATAAATAATATGCACTAGTACCCAAAGAATAAGAAGTTAATGAATCAAATAATAAATCTTACAAAACAAGTACTAATAGCATGTATTTTATAGATAAAATATTAAAAAAGCTTGCCTTGAGGCATTAGTAAATCATTCTTTTTTGTCAGAATAATGACAGATCATTTAAAATGATAAATAACCAATACAAGTAAACCAATATGCCAAAATCCACTGCTTATAGGGCTGTTCACACCAAGGATGATAACAATACATTTAAACGTAATAACTAAAGTTGTGTCGATTTATTTTAATTCATGCTTTTCTTTTTTGTTTTCCCCTTGTAACCAGCAGATGTCCTCAGTGTGCTGCATCTCTAGCATATCTGACCAGTGAATCCAGCTCGTGTAATCAAATCAAACAGTATTACAATTTACAGTCAGTGTAAAAGAATAAAAACAACAAAAAATATATATTTTCCCCCTGCATTCTCACATCAACACATCATACTACCATGTAGTTTATTTTTTTATTTTTATCATTTCGTTTATGGGATAACCAATTGTTTTCAAGAAAGACATTAGCTGTGTCCCAATTCATATATTATCTGTCCTAAATAGTATTTTAAAATAGAATTTGTAAGTCCCAAATCGAAGTATATTGAAAAGAGTATGCCACAGGTTACTGGATAGTTTAATATTTCTGGTAAAAAATTTAAATGTAAAAGTTTTGGATGTGAATTTGATTAGAACTACAAATGCAAAAAGTGTTAATGGGTGTACAAAAATATTTAAATTGCGTTTTCTGTTATATTTCATCTGCAACAATAATACTGAACTTATATAAAGACGTGTTTGGACATTAAAGTCTGAATGCATATTTATCCAAAGACCTGTGGAGATTTCTCTGCATGAAAGACTCGTGGATAGGAGATTAACCTGCAGCTGCTTCTCCAATAAAGTAGGAATTTAAATATGACAGAAATCTGGATGATGTGTAGATGATTGACAGGGCTCATAACTAAGCAAGCATGTCCCAAAGCTTGCATTCTCTTTTGTTACACACTCAAAAGTATATACTTTTCCTTAATAAAAAAGTACATACGTTTAGGGTGTAGTGCAAGTATGCAAAGTGGACAATTGTCTATAAATGATCTTTAAAAAGATGGCTTGAAGATACACTACACTTTTTTTCCTAATTATCCTAGAATTAGCTAATATTCAGGTCTAGAGTGACCACATTTAGCTTAGCATAAATTATTGAATTAGATTAGACCATTAGCATCCCACTCAAAAAAAAAAATATTTAAAGCTTGACTCTTCTGTAGTTACATTGTCACTTAAGACTGACGTAAAATTTGGTAATTTTTAGGTCAATATAGCTGGGGGCTTTTCTGTCTTTCTGGTGAATAATCAAGGGACTTTGCTGGCAGGAAAATATTTAATAAATATTTACTTTAAAAATAAATTAAAGTAGGTTATAAATTGAGTAAGGTTTTTTTTTTTTTTTTAAATCGACTAGCCCTAGTATATTAAAATGAATTCTGACTGGATGTCATTTAGTATTAGTATTTATCATTTAGTAACTGTAAAAGAAAAACTTGTAGTCTTTATAAAACTATATAATTTCTCTACATATTCATCATTACAGCTGTGGTCTGAAATGTTGTTTTAAATTCAGAACTATTTACAGAACGCCGTCTTTATCATTATCTTTATAGCTATCATCCTTGGTGTGGACAAGCCTTAGAAAATGTAAACATAAAAGAAAACCTCAAGACTAAAGTAAATTTATTGCCATGCAGCAGCACATTTATGTTTCATTTTCCCCTCACAGTGCATTGTAGGTAATCTCTAAGTGGCGTGGGACTAAACATCCAAGCACATCAATAATTCACTGGCCACTACCTAGCCGTACACTGCAGAGTCATGTTTCTCTTGAATATCAGATTAGTGTCCAGATGACCTAACACAGGTGCCCTGCAGAAAAATAGCCACGGGTATGTGTGTGCATGCGTGTGTTTGGTTTGGATGGCCTCAGACTGAATTATTGAGGAAGAGACCGGGTCAGGATCGCATTACAGACTGTATGGTGTTCCAATAAACTTGAGTTAAAGGTCTTGTGACGCAGTGGGAAACTCTACAAACTGTGAACATGTAAAAGACACTTGGCTGCTTTAAATGAAATTCAATATTACTACAGGGTTAAAACTTCACCTCTAGGGCTGTTGTTGTTGTTGGTATGATGGGTTTAAAAGAGGCACACAAAAGCAACTTTTATTTGACCACAAATAATGAATCGTAATCTTATAACTTAAACATTACAATCTAAAAATGTAAAATTCGATTAACAACATTGCGCTATCCACGTTTCCTCCGGAGTTTCATGTAATTTCAGGTGTTTCATTTTTGATTTGTCAACTTTAACTGCAGTTTCACACTTTCACTTTCATTCAGGAACATTATATGCATGCCCCATGACAAACGAGATGTTGGATGCGAGTATGAACTGCTGGAAGAGTGTTGTTTTAATAGAATTTGATACTGCATGCTGCATAAGGTGTCTACATATCTGTACTGCACTACAAACAGTATCTGTTTAGTTCGCTTATGACCTTAGTCAGATTGAATTAATCAAAAATTCCTATTTACATGCTAGACTCTTAATCAGAGTATTTTCTTAATCAAATTAAATTAAGATTATTGGTGTCCATGTAAACGTACTCATTGACTATTGAGGTTTATAATAAGTGGAGGATCAAATGTTGACTGAATATTCGACCTTTAAGTGAACTACTTCTTTAAGGTCTGAAAACATGGAACATTTCATACACATTGTCAGTAGTTTATAAAAAAATAAAATAAAAAAAAACATTTTAAATGTACCTATTAAACAAAACAGGGAACCGATAACTTTAGTCTCTTAAATTCTGTATTTCATAAACTATATAATCATTTTAAGATAACACAGGTTGTTACGGTGTTGTATAAACAGGATCTACAGTAGTCAAGATTTGAAATGGATCAAAAAGGTTGACAGAATTGTCCTGAAGACAAGAATATGTTTTGTTTAACAGTTTTAAGTTTTGATTCACTTCAAATATTGACCTCTGTATAAATATAGTAATTTCAAGAAAGAAAATGTGTTTTAGACTACAAATAATTTTTTTGGTCCAGTGTAGGTGTATGTATTGTGTTTTATTTTATTTTCCTATAAAAGATTCTTGGAAAAAAAAAACATAATTATATTAATTATTAGTAATAATTTTACATTTATATAAAAACACATCCTCTTCTTAGAGTTATATGAAAGAATTTTATTTTAATAACAATAATAATAATAATGATGATGATAATAATAATAATAATAATAATAATAATAATAATAATAATAATAAACAACAACAACAACAACATTTGTTAATTGGTAATTGTTTTTATTCTATTTAAAGGGTGTTAACAGTTTGTAATAAGACTAATATCCATATTGCTATGATCATATGCTTTCTTAACTGCTGGTTTTCTCACTGCTTGTTTTTTTATTGAGAGTAGGTTATGTAGTGAGTGCAGTATAGTTGAGTTTAGATGCAAAAATCATCTGACATTTTTCATCTAAAATGACAAATTTTCACAGGTTGTTGTGCGTAGTTTCAGTAATTTTACTCTTAGTGCAAAGGATATGTTAATTTTATTGCTTTTGAAGTGATATAGCTAAACATAAACATAGGAGGTTGAGAAAAAAATGCTAATTTTAGAGGAAATTTTAAGACAGCACTTAGAGGTTTTTGCATCTGAACTGTTCAGTTGCAAATGTATTTTCAAATTAAATTTACTTCTAACCTAAATAGAATGGCACTAAATTCTGCTGTCCATAGTATCATGTTCAGTTTTTTGCATTTTATGTGTGCACAGATATGTCTCCCTAAAGTGGGTATAAACCTTTCTTAGCTTCTTTATTTCATTGAACACAAGACTTTTTTTTTTAATAGAGCTGGAAACCTTTAACCATCAACTACCATAGTAGGATAAACAAATACTATGGAAGTCAAATGGTTACAGTTTTTCAGCATTTTTCAAAATATCTTATTTTTGTGTTCAACAGAAGAAAGAAAGTCCAACAGGCTTGGAAGAAGTAAAGGGCGAGTAGATGATGACAGAGTTTACAATTTTGGGTGAACTATCCCTTTAAGTTGCTGCCTGCAGTTCAAAATATTTTCATTTTATTAGATTAAAAAAAGTTTCTGAAATCTTCCTATACTGATTTTTGCTAAATGATGTTATCAAAAATGATAGCGTCAATAACAATCACACCCACACTCAACACATGACCCCTCTCTTTTTTAACTCTCCAAAATAGTTACTAGATACGGCCCTTATTGCTTATTGGCTGCAGTGTTTTGTGAAACTCGCTCTAAAACGGTGTCAAAAGCATTTTACTTAACACTCCTTAGCACAACTTTAAATCTGTTCCAACTCAAATCGCCATTTCATAAAATGAAACGTCAGTTATATATAATCCATATTGAAACAGTAACCCACCCTTTTCAACTCACCATCAGGCACCTCATCGGGCTTCTTGCGCTTCTCATAGATGACGATGATCAGCACCAGGATGATGATCTCTGCCAGGACTCCCAGCAGAGGCCATAGGGGGGCCAGGTGGCTCCTGACCCGCAGAATCCATTTCTTGGAGGTGGAGCTGATGAAGTTGGTGGCATTGCATTCATACTCTCCCGGGTCAGAGTTGATGTCAAGGTTGATGATGGACAGTTCGGTGTAGCCATCCTTACTGATGATGAAGAAGCGGCCAGAGGAGTTGTCCATCATTTCCTGGGTGATTGATGGAGCAGAGAAGGACAAGTGAGAGACAGGGAAGAAAGGATGCACGCGCACAAAAACACACACACACACACACACACACACACACACACACACACACACACACACACACACACACACACACACACACACACACACACACATATATATATGT